AAGAGTGAGAATAGTGAACTATGAGAGAAGCAAAGCAGCGGTCTCCAAGTGCTTGCAATATTCACAAGATCAGTACTTGACTATGAGCTCAGAAGCACACTGAAGCGTCTAGCTGTAGTTTAAAAAGAAATTAAAGGATTTTTGAAATAATGCAAAAAGGCACAAAATGCTAGGCTGTCACAAGACTCTATTTCCCCAGGAGTGTTTGCAGTGAACTTAATTGTAAGTAAAAAAAAAAAAAAGTGTATTACGCTCTAAAACTGGCAACTGTGTTTAAAACTTGCCAGACTATTGCATAACCAATTACTCCTCAGTGGTTTTGCATTTGCTGAGCTCAACGAATTAGAAGGTGGTTTAGCTAAGAGGGCACTCACACCTTCTAGCTTAAAAGTAGCTGAGAATCCACTGTGGGAGTACAAGGAAGGAGAAGAAAAACCTGTCCGGAGTATTTCAGGAAGGCACCAATTACCTGTCTGGCAGTGTCTTCTCTCTCCCTGGAGTGCATAAAGTCTTAACATCACAGAATTGTTGTGATGCATTATTTGCTTCCTTTGTTTGGGAAACTCACTGGCAAACTGCCCACCGCAGTGAGCAAGTGCTTGGTCAGGTAACCACACAGTCTCTGCATAAGAAAGCAGGCAAAAAGTGTGTTCCTGGCCAAGTCCTAGCAAGACCTCTGTCACTCAGTGCCACCTGTCTGCACCACTACAACCTTCTCAATCCAGAGTCGCCACCTTGGCATCCTCTTCACCATCCTCTGTCTCTGCAGCAGGAGCACTTGCGGTCAAAGACTTGAACAAGCCCTTGGTTGATGCCACTGTGTGCGTCTATTGACCATCACATCCCAGCTGCTGCCCACATCAGCACAGTCGCATTACACCTTCAGCCTGAGAGACCTCTCCAAGCTGTTCCAGGACATGCTCATGGCTGAGCCCAGCAAGTTCCAGGTGAGTCCTCCCATTGCCACAGCCATACCACCCAGGGGAAGACCAGAAATTTTCCAGTTAAGGCCTCAAATTCTTGTTGAAGCCACATTTTGTTACTGCTCAGTGAATGTGGTGGCCTTCCCTTTGGCTATATTGCCTAGTACCAGTAGTAAACAGACACCCCCCTGCTACCCCAGCACTTCCTTGGTGTGCAAGTGGGTGCCTACAGCAAGTCAGTACAATACAGCCCAGACATTTGGGGCTGGGTGGAGCCATAGGGGACCAGTCAGGGGACCACAGGGACAAAGGCGTTGTCCTGTTACTAGCTGGTAGCAATGGAGGCTTCTGCCCCTTCACATCTGCTGAGCACCCTACTCTGGCTCCAGTTTAGCCAATAGCGGTTGACGTATCACAGGGAGTACTTGGGATCCTGGTTCTGTGCTACACCCAAATAGAAGGATCTTTCAAAACACAGGAACTTAAGAAAGAGTGAAAAACAAATCAGACTCGCGGAAGGATAAAGATAAACAACATGAAATTTAAATCTCACAAAGAAAGCCTGACATATGGACAAATAGAGGGGGGATTAGCTGAAACTGTAAGGAGCTCTCTGCAAAGCAGCTATTTTGACAAGAGCTGATTTTGAGAAGAGAGGGAATGCAGCTTCCTCCGCCCAGCTCTTTCTCCACTCCAGCTGCCTTCTAGCAGAATGGAGCTGGCCACATGCTGTGCAGGAACCAGCGTTCCTGACAGCCAGGCTCTTTAACACTTCTCCGCTTCTCTCATGGGGGCTGTTTTTGCTGGGATTTCCTACCAGAACAAGCTGGACCTGCTGAGACTGAGGTACCATGAGAGCTGCCAGGTCTTCTGTGATCACCTGGTCAGCAAAGAGGACCAGACCTGGTTGGACAACCTGATGAAGAGTGTGATGGAGGAGGAGTTAGACACCACTTTTGAAGAGATCATCCCTTCCCAGCAGTTCTGTTAGGAGACTTCATGGAGCCAGGTGCTGGTATCAAATTGTACAAAGCAACCAACAGCAAGGACCCTGGGAATTATGATGATGTGAACTTTGTTCACATCTTCCAATTCTGCTGCAAACAAAAGAAAACAGTTAATAGTAACCATGGGGCTGCTTGAATTGAAGGTGTCTGGAAACACAAACCCTCCCACGGCTCTCCTGTGGTATCCTACCCCGGATCAGATAGTGGTTGCATTTGGTGCAATGGGAAGTTGAGGTGGAACAACCTGTCTGTGCATTGCCATCCTGGGGGCAGCCTGGTCTGCCAGATCTCCCAACTAAACCACACTTGGGACTGAAAAGTGCAGTTTGCTGAAAAGAAATGGCATAATATCCCTAAACAATACTACATTTGCCATTAAAGACTTCACAATTGACCTTTACAAGTAATTAATGTAACTGCCAGATTCCCTGTTGAAGAAGATACTGCAAGTACTTTGGTAGTGATAATTAAGCAAAGGCAATGAGCACTGTTTTGCACTCTGTATCAGAAACAGATGATTATCTCGTTGTCTCTCCTTTTGTGGTAGCTGTGTGACAAAGATTGGTAATTAACTGAACTTTCCAGTCTCTTTTGCAAAGTAGGTAGGCCTGTGCCCGACCAAAGTGAGCACAGCTGAGACAACCAGAGTTACCAAGCTGCTGCACAGTCCACTGATGGCGCACAGGACTTCGGTACTTAAGCAGGGATCTCAGCACTGTATGGATTCCAGCTGATCTGGCTTGCTCGGTGAGATTGCTGGGGGAGTAGGACCAAATCCCGTATGTCTTCGTGCTTCGTCTCCTGCTGTGGCCTGATGGTGCTGTTGAAGAGAGCCCTGGAAAGGGCAGGAGAGTCTGCTCCTAAGCTATTCCATGCAATGGCTGGACCAGGAGAGGAGTACACCTCTCTGCCTGTCTATGGCCAGCGGTGTTTTCTTCCAGCGCCTGCCCTTTCTAGCCAGGATCCTAACCACAGGTTGTAGTGTAAGCTATTTTATGTTGAACTATGCCTTGCTCTGTTTCTCCAGGCAAACAGTAGATCTTAGTGACTTGCCTGAGTTAGTTTAAGGTCACCACTCAGTAGCTGCTGCTGCCACCACCACTAACTAAATTCAGTCCAGTCTGATAGCAGTTCCTATTGGACTGTGGAACAAAGAGAGCTGTTCCCTCCCCACAAGCAGCTCCCAGACCCTGCTGAGGCTCTACCCTCTCAGAACTCTAGCTAGGCTTACAGACAGCCACCCACCCCCTCACAACTGCTTTTATCTGGTAGCCACAATTGACTGTTTCTGCCCACAGCTGAAGGTTGTGATTGAGGATTACCTGGAGGAGTACAGATCAACAGCCCAGAGCTGAAGCTTGTTCTTTTCATGGATGCAATACAGCACGTTTGCTGAATTAGCCAGATCCTGCAGCAGGCTCCAGGGAATGTTCTTCTTCTGGGTGTTGGGGGAAGTGGGAGACAGTCTCTCATCAGACTGGCATCTCACATGTAAGTAATGCGGTCCTATGCACATAATGTGGAGCAGCTCCATCAGGGCTGCCTCCAGAGAATCTCTTTTCCTCCCCTTCCTGCTAGTGGTTACACATTTTCCTGGTTGCTTAATCTTCAGGTTTAACACTCAACAGCTAGTGCTCAGTTAACACGCATACCTACACTAAGAAAATTGGTCTCTTTTGCCTGGTAGTAGCTTGAGTTATTCCTGTGGGCGTGCAGCAACATAGTCCATGTTAGTTCACTGGCCTGTGCAGCACTCAGCATGACAGGGGGAGAGGTGGGAGCTTCTACCTGGGAGCTGGGCAGCAGAAAGACAGGAGCTACTGGTGACAAGTGATCAAGTGACAGTGGCAGTCTGGCAAGTAGGACTGGTGAGTCTTAGGAGCCAAGAGGGAAGCTTGAAGAGTCAGGGAATTAGTCTGAGGAAGAAAACTCTTCCAGCTCTGAGTACAGGGTGTGATCCTAGAGAAACACAACCATGGTTCCCAGGAGTATCAGCTCTGAGGGTAGTGTCACAAGAAAATCCATGCTGAGTTGTTCCCTCTGCACTCAGAGGCACTGGGCTCAAGAAGCAGCATGACTCTGTTAGGTCATGGAGTTGTACTTCTGGTTTCTAGCTAGCTCAGGTATCTCTGCTTTGAGTAAAACATGCTTTTGAATTGGTGGCTGGACATACACAAGGACAGCCGTGTGCTCAGGGCTCATTGCAGGAAAACAACCTGCTTGCGTCCTCTCCCCCTGAGTTCCCAGCACATACTCAGGATTGACAAAATAGGAGATTTTAATTTCATGTATTTCTTAAATAGCTCACCTTCATCATTGTATAAAAAAGCCCCAGGGAAATGAAAGGTGGTACAGTTGCTGCTAGAGGGACTGTATTGGTGCATGTGAGTGGGCTGATTCTTCTGTTGCTCAGAGAAGCCTTTTTCAGCTCCATCCAAGGGGCTGCTGGGATCAAGGGTTTTAGACCCAGCTGCCTGAAGCTAAGAACTATGCTGACCACTGATACTAAAAATCCTAAGTAGCATCATTCTCTTTCTTCTTAAAGGTACCAGTAGATTTAGAGCTTTATGCCTGCAAGTTCCACAGTGTAACTTTGGCTTATTACTGTAAACTGTGACTTGCTAATTACTGAGCCAACTTCTAGAATTCATGTTCACCATAGGCTATTTTACTGCCTTCATTATCATGGGAACCAGGTCCCTTCTGGCAATGCCCTAAGCAGTGAGATGAGCATCTGTCAAATGCTGCTTGTTCTTGCATCCTTTTCCCTGCATATGTGGAGAAGCGTATGTGGGAGAAGAGGGGTACAGGAAGGGTGCATTTAGTCAAGGAGATGGATGCTGTGTATTTCTGGTTTAGCAAGGGTGGAGAGGTGAGTGTAGCTCTGGAGGGAGATCATCCCACAGACTGTGACACATCCCTACAATTACTCTCTCCCACATCAATGAGCTGTGTCCTAGTAGTGAAGTGTTCTGTGCTGCAGGAATGAAGACATAGAGCAATCTGGTGTCAGGGATCTGGTTGCAGTCACTGCAAGGCAGGGAGCAAGGCACTGAGCTCAATTTGGCTGTAAGGAGACCGTGAACGGGCAGAAGGTTTGTTCTCAGACACACACGTCCCTTCACACCTTGTGACCCTCCTGCAAATGGCTGAACATGGCTGTTCATTTGGAAATTCTGAGTGAGGGTCAGAGTAGGCTTCACTGGAGCCAAGTGATCACAGAAATGATTTCTTATAACAGAAGATGAGGGCTGTATGTATTCAGAAGTGATCTCCATGGCTTGTGGAGATGTAATTGTCTTATGACAGGAAATTCTTTTTTTTTTTTTTCCCTTTCCCTCCATCATCTACTTAGATTAAAAATTAATCCTTCCTTAATGATATTAACAGCTTGCTCAGCTCAGGTGACATTACCAACATTTACAGCCCTGAAGATCAAGAACAGATGGTGAAGCCTGTTGTTCAAGATCTAGGGCGGCAGCCCACCAAGGCCGATTTGATGACCACATACATAAGACGGGTTCACAGCATTATCCCCGTGGTCCTGTGCATGAGGTACAGCTCAAGGGTAGGACTCCACACGGTCAGTGTTAATTCTTCCCTCCTTGTCCTTTGTCTTGCATGACTTTGTCATGGGACCTTTGTTTCCAAGCCCCTGACTTTGGAGGAGGAGTAGGGTTTGCATACCACCTTCACATAGAACTGGATGCTTTTGTCTTTTAAACTTTGCTGGTTTCAAGATGAAGTTTGAAAAATTTAAGAATATGATTACATCCGATCCAGATTTAATACATGCTACCTCCTCCTTCATGCACCATTGAGCTGTTTGTTACAGAAATCTCTTGCTTGAATTTGGGGTTCAGCTGCACCATGTTTACTTAGGAATGTAGTGCATCATCCATGAACAGCTTGCTAGCATGCAGGAGAGCTGTGAGAAAACACAGGGCATTCACAGTGTAAGTATCAGTGCCATGATTTTGGTCTTCTGATGCAATCCCTGCACTCACCTGCTTAGACTTCGGACTACATTTATTTATTACCCCTTAAGTGTTCTTCCTAGGGAGGGACCTGTAACACATCACTCCACTACCACCTCAATACCTCCAGAATATGTCCAGAACTTCCAGGGAGTGAGCTGCGACATGCACCTCACTGCCTGTACTTTCATACCCTTTTCCTCCTCCCTCTTTCTTCCTCGAGTATATTCCTTTCCTTCTTATTTTGTCTTCTATACACACTTGAGACAGTTTCCCCTCTGTTGTGAATTACTGTACCATCAACTGGTTTAACCAGCACTGAAGATGTCGATGGGATGGTAGGTGCCACACTCAACACACAAAACCCAACTCCCGTGTGCTCCACGTGCCACATCTCTAGATAGGCACAGACAATGGATGCAGGACATGCCTGCAGAAAGGCCCTGCCCTGAAGCAGAAATGTTTCATGGCAGGTCATTCCGGTAAGGAACTGGACAGCTTTTGTAGGCCTTGAAATGGGCATGTCCATTTGTCACCCTCTCTATGGCACTGGCACATACACACACATGTTAAAGTTCTTTCTGCTGTGACTGTATATTTAGGCTCTTTGTAAGCCCCTTGTGCTCTCTGTGGGTATCACATAGACTTGGCTAACATGTTCAGTACTGAATAAGATTGTTTCTTTCCATTCTTGTAGACTCAAGTATGTGTAGAAATCCATTGGAGTGTGGCAAAGAAGTGCCAAATGTACCTAGCAGAGCTGGCCAGACACAATTATGTCGCTCTCAAGAGCTACCTCAAGTTTCTCAGCATCTTCAGTTGAAGAAAAAGAAGAAACAAGAACTGAAGATAGCCAAGAACAGGATGAAAGGTGGCCTGGACAAGGTTTGTCCCTCACACCCAAAAGAGTTTTAGGCCCCTCTTACCTGCTCAGACCAGTGTATTTATAGCTGCAGAGATGCAGCGAGATGCCCTACACATCTTCTATGTAACAGGAGAAAACTCATGCTAAAGCAAACGAGAACTATTGTTCTGGCGGGGCTAGTCTTTCTGAAGATCTGAGTCTGTAACGGCTCTAAAAGAATGGTGGCCCTCAGTCTTTGGGGACTACAGACCTCTCTGTAGCTCCTCATCTCTCAGGATGTTCCTTATGAACCTTTTAACTGAAAATCCTATAAAGAAAAACATTGTTCTGCTGACTGATTGCCATGAGCTTATGAAGTAATACCTATCATGCGCAGGTGCCGTTAGGCACTTATTTTAAACATACCATGGCGCCAGATTGTTTCTTAAGAGGGAACATCTGCGGGGACACGCAAGATCTGCTTTGTGCAGCCTGACACTGGGCAGGAAGCACACACGAGGGCAGCACAGCCCTTACCTGTGGCTTTCCACGGCTGCTGCCTGTGCTCTCACTGTGCTCTGCTTCCACAGGTCTTGCAAGCGGCAGAGGATGTAGCGAAGGAGCAGGAGGAGCTGGAACCCGCCCGCCCTCTCCTGGCACGGGCAGCCAAGGACAGAGTGGCAACCATAGAGCAACTGCAGGTACTGCTGCTGCACTTTCCAAGTCTGGCTGCTCAGACTGGACAGAGGGTTTGGGGAGGCCTTGCACGTATTGTACAAAACCCTGTTTGATCTGACAGTAAGAAGGCCTCAGATGAGCACAGCACGTATTTATGTGGAGCAGCACTACCAGCAAGAATGGCCTTCTGCTGGGGCCACTGCTCTGGTGTTGGGAGGGGACAGTCACAACCTACCAGCCAGTTGCTAGCAGAAGTGATGGCTCACATGGCCGTGTCTCGGGGTCAGCCAGCCAAGCTACCACCTTCCTCTCCTCACAGGTTTAGATTGTTGCAAGCACAGCCTAGCAACATGAGTAACACAATCATCAAGTGGCCTGAGCAGTTCTAAGCCCAGACTGTTGTTGCTGAAAGGGATCATTCCCCCACATCCCATCCCCAGGGAGCTGATCCGCCCCTGCTAGCCCAAACCTCAGGGATCACGCAGGCACTCATGCCTCTGCAGAACAGAGAACTGTCCTGTGCTGGCTGTCACTACCTCCTGCCTTCTGCTTGTGTTCCTCCCTACTGTGGGATGGCCAGACTGAGACAGAGGGAGCAGAGAGTAAAAACATGCAGCTCTGCATGCAAAGGGGAAAAACAGTCTGCTGTCTCACATAGCAGATAAAGATTTGGCTATATTCCACATTGCCTTTACACCTCCTGGTAGCATTTTAACCCTGGGAGTAGGCTGAAGAGACAAGAAGTGATGTGCAGTCTGAGGAGATCGAGGCCAATACAAAAGCTCAGGCAGCTCAAGCCATTGCAGATGATGCTCAGAAGGACTTGGCTGAAGCCTCCCAGCTCTGGACACTGCTCTTAAAAGCCTGAGGAGCCTCAAAAAGAGTGATGTTACAGAGGTAACTAGGTTGAGGGGAAGGGTGGCAGATCTGAAGCTGGTCCTAGACACCCTCTCACTAGCACTGCCTTATCTATAGGCTGGCAGCCTTTCCAGCATTTCCCTGGGCTCACAATCTGGGCAGCTGTCCATGCAGCTTCTCAGCCTCACTCTTTCGGAAGCAAAGAGTTTCATAGGCCAGGGAAACCGCAACTGGCTCCTGGGTGTTCCTACATGTTGTTTCCAAATTGTGCCAGAGAGTGTTGAGGAGGGCTCACACCATGGTGCCCATCCGTGAGGTAGGCAGCAGGCAGCACCACAGTGCAACCCCAAGTATTGACTGTGCAGCACAGGGACAGATCTGGCAGCACAGTCCCTGAACCAACAGGGTCTTTTAAAAGAGGATCTGCCACAGGCGTAGAAGAGGAAGAGGCAATGGCTAGTGAGCTGACTTCAAGGAATACCAGCTTGGAATAGGACAGTCAGAGAAAGAAGGGTGATTCTGAGCCTGGCAAGTGTCACAGCCCATAGCCAAGAGAGCAGGCTCAGCAAGTACAAGATTTTGCCACAAAGGGTATAACAGCTGTGGAGGGAATGAACAGGCGTATTGCTCTGCAGTTGTGAATAACAGACCTTTTTATTCCCCAGAAGGTGGGAAAAGACACAGACAGTGTCAGTCCACTTGCCCCCAGCACCCATCCTCTTGTAGAGTTGGCACGGAAAGTGTCCTGTGTATAGAAAGCTTCCAGTGCCAACTCACAAAATGCATCAGTTTCTTACACATTATTTAACCCATCCACCAGCTTCAGGAAACTCCTCATTTAAGGAATAAAGCTCTCTGCTTTTAAGCCCTGTTGGTGGGCCATGACCCAAGTAACTTGTCACTGGAGCCAGGAACTCCAGAGTTCTCTCCCAGTCCAGGATTAACAACCTAGCCCAACCAAAAGAGGACACTACTTCTGTGGCAGGCAGCAAACATCCCTCTGGCCTACTCCTTTGCATAGGGCAGCTCCATTGGTGATCCTATGGAGGAAGCAGAGACCTGCTTCTCCAGCTCCTCCACTACTTCTCTCAGCCGATCCTCATCACAGTAGAAATACACATAAAGGTTGCGCTCTGTCTGCAGGATAGGGCTCTCCAGGAGTCCACGCTTGACTTTCAAGTCACTCAGGAGGTCTGACAGCATTTGGTAGAGGTTGTCCTGCATTGTAATCAGTTGCTGCATCTGCTCGGTGATCTCCTGAGGTGCAGAGCCCAAACACATGTGAACATGCAGAAAGAGGGTGATTTTGTACCACCTATGGAACAGCTCAGCCCACCAGAAACAAACCACCCACCTGGCTCTGGCTTCCAAACATATTCAATCCAAGGAACAGAGGTAGCTTACTGGGCCACCTTGGCTAAGGCCCCCCAGCCTCTAAACTTAACAGCACACGTGAAACAGTGAGAATCACCTTTGTTCCTCAGCCAGCCACTGTCTCACTGGATAGCTTTTGGGACAAGGCAAGGATCAGGCCGACCTCCTCTCCACTCAGCCAGCTGAGAGGCAGTAAGCTCTGCTGCCCTGCACCCAGGGAGGATGGTGGAGAGGGAGGGCTCTGGCTCAGCCCTGTGCTGCCCAGCAAGACCTGGTGGAGCAGAAACGCTTGCTTACCGGAGAGGAGAGCTGCAGCTCATTGGAGCTGTTGTACAGCAGCCGGTAAAGCACCTTTATGGAGGACTCCAGGGCAGGCAGTTGGGGCATAGGAGCCACCGGCTGTGCTTCCAGCATCCTCTTCTGGTCCTGAACCAACTGGGAGCACTGGGCTGCTATGGTCTCATAGCTGCGGAAGAGTTGCTCCTCCCCACCTTGCCCCATCAGCATGTCCCAGAGCCTGCAAGAGAGGACACACAGCCAGTGGTGCGAGCAGTGTGCCAGTGCTGAGGAAGGCCAGAGCTCAAAGGACACTGTGTGCTGTGGGTCTGCGATGCAAGCAGCTGTGGGGCAACAATGAGAGGACAGCCACTTCTGGTGGGCAGCCCACATCCTGGAGGTCTGGGAAGAGCACCATAAAGGACCAGGCTGGCTCAAGAGCTAGACAGAGACTCCTTGCTGGCAGACACCTGCACCAGCTACTCCAGAGTGCAGGGAGAACTGAGAAGCTTCTCCCACTGCAGGACACCCAACCAGAGAGCTTTTGCTCCAAGCAGCTTGTGCTTCCTTCTGGCCCGGCTGTCCTTCTCTATGGCAGAAGACTTACCTCTACACTCTCCACCTTCACATCCTAGGAAAACCTCTGTTCTTCATACTCATGCCCTTCTCCAAGCCCCTGCTTTGCTGCATCAGCCCTAGCCAGCCAGAAAGAAGCAGATACCATCTTCTGGGGAATTTCACACCACCATGGAGTGAGGGTGGCTCTGCTCTGGCAGAAGAGTACTGCTAGACTGCCTGTTAGCTTGGATCTGCTTCACGCCTCTCCCATTCCCATGCCATTTTCTCCATATCTAGTTTGTTCCTCATGCATGCACACACCGCCAGGCCCTTACCGTACAGCAGAGAGGTCTTTGGGGTCTATCCATATGCGTGGACAGCACTTCTGTAAGGAGCTGACATCTTTGAAGTAGTCTTGCTGCTGCTGCAGCCTGGTCTGGGCTTCCCTCATGGCAATTTTCATCTTCTCCAGCTGAGCAGCCCTCTGGTCTGCCTCCTTTCTCTTTCGTTTCAGGTGAAGCTCCAGCAGATCCCCCCCACCAGACCCAGGCGGCTGTGCTGGCCCGCCAGCCACGCAGCCATCTCCTCCTGCCTCTTGGTAATGTGTTGCAGACGGGCAGCCTCCAGGCTGAACTGCTTCTGCAGGACAGGTAGGTGAGACTGGTGAGCGTTTGCCTTCAGCAGAGGTGGCAGCTGGTGGGTCAGGGTCTGCATGATGTCACAGCGCAGGGCACGGAGCTGCATCTGAAACGTGGCAGCCTGATGCTGGAGCTCTGCCTCAGCTACTTGCTATGCAGGGAGAAGACAAGACAGACTGATGTCAGGGTGCAGCACTAGCACTGCCTGGCTCTGCCACCCACTCCCGATGTGTCAGCCATGCTCCAGCATTCAGCTGGAGGGAGTACTGCGACACAGGCAGATACTGCCACAAAGGATGGTGGAGGAAAGGGAGAACTGGCCTTACCTGGTTCTTCTCAAGAGCATCCAGTGTCTTCTGGGCACACTCCAGTACAGCACAGTTGCCTTCCACTGTTGCCGATATGACTATAAGCTCCCTCTGGGCACAGATATGTGCTTTCTCTAGTCGGCTGAGCTCCTTCCAGTAGCTGTCTTGGTCCTCCAGCAGCTCAACTCCATCAGTCCTAAAGCTTCTTGGCATCGTTGTTTGCTTGACATCCATTCTCTCTGTGGCTTCCCAGATGCCATCTCTCTCCTCCTCATCCCCCATACTCAACACCTCTCTCCCATTCCTCCCCTTCTCTTGCAGCTCTGCGCTTGAGCCTTGGATGGGTATTCCCTGACTTGCTGTTGCCACCCTGTGTGATGTCTTTGCACACTCTTGATATGGAGATCTTCCTTCCAGTATTTCCCAGTCTGAGTTCATCTGTGTCCCATCCTCCAGCCTTTCCTTTAAGCTGCTCTCTTCCCGTGCACTTGCTCCCCGAGTGTCTGGAGCCAGGACACTTTTTGGTAGGACCTGCTGACTGAACCTCTCAAACTCATCAGTGGCCTGTTCTTCTAGCACCATGTAAGGGCCAAGATCCATCTCACACAGCAGTGCTGGTGGCTGGCCTTTCTCCATGTCCTCATGCCACTCTGCCAGCTGCTTTGCAGCCGTGCTGATCTCACTCAGGATAGCACTGGTTTGGAAGATCTCCTTTTCCAGGTCCATCTGAGCCTTCCTCAAGTCCTGCTTCACTGCTTTCTCCCCCACCTCCAAATACCTCAGCTGTTCCTGCAGGTTGGCTGTCCAAACCTGCAGCTTGCTGTGCCGCCAGAGCTGAAGGTCACGATAGTCCTTCAGCTCCTGAAGCTCCTGTTGCAGGGCCTCCAAAGAGGGACCCTCATCATCCAGCATCATATCTGGGAGCTGTGGGACCTGGCAGCATACCTGCAGCGCCTGCTCGAGGGCATCACCTTCCAGGATGGGTTTTCCTGCAGCTAGCAGGGCTTCATAGGCCTCTACCTCGGCGGGACTCAGCACGTTCTCCTCACTCACCGTGCTGCAGAACCACTCAAGGAACTGCTTTGTCTGAGGGCAGTCAAAGAGCCAGTCAAAGTCCTTCTCACAGAGGGTGTCTGTATGGGGGTAAAACAGCCTCAGTGTTGCCAAAAATTCTGCCCCTCTGTTGGCTGTGTCCCCTGGGAAGGCCCGGGAGTGTCTCTGGCTGAACATGGCAAGACTGCTCAGCACTAGAAGGAAAAAAGCAGGAGTCATCCTTAAGGGTCCTGACACCCATAGGCATCTCAAGGGTGCTGCAGCAGCACTCCTAGCTGCCTGCCTGAGGAAAGACTCAGGCAGTCCCCCCACAAACACTGCAGACCAGCTCCATGGGGTGCAGCATTGCTATAGTAGGCTGCAAGACAAATGAGAACCCACAGAGCAGGGGAGAAAGCCTGCCCATGCTCCCATTTCCATGCAGCCTCCTCCCCAGGGCCATACAGATCTAGCTGCTTTGCCAAGACATCTTAAGCCTGTAAGATATACCTATTAGAGCAGGCTTTTCCAGCCTACCTATAGTTGACACCATGCCCTTTCTGATAATCAATGGGTCTCCAGGACAGCTGAGAGCAGCTCAGTAATCCCAGGATTAAGTGCTCAAAACTGGGGACAGAATTCAGGATATGGCAGGGGCCACCCTGCAACCAAAAGTTACTTGCAGCATTACCCAGAGAGCAGTAGCTCTCATGTGTGCAACTTATCCCACAGCTCATAAACAGCGTGGCTGATGAGAAGGTGCACTGGCAGGGCACCGTAGAGACCTGGGTTACAAGATCAACATCAGTGGGGGCATGCTGGCTGCAGCTGGCTGTGTGGCCTACCTGGGCCCTTTTACCGTAAGTGTGCAATGCTCCCTGCAAGATGCTTTTTTAGCTGCTCTGCTCTCCTGCCCTCTAGCTGTTGCTGGCCAGATCCACTGGAAGAAAGGAAGAGGGCAAAAAGGTGCAAGATCCCTCCTGGATCACTGTCCACTTGTGCCAGAGGCTGCACAGAGTCCCATTTGAGTATCAGCAGGAGGGTTTAGATGCTCATAGCAGACTAGCTACAATTAAAAGGCTGTGATGGTGATTTTCACAGCAGGGTCACTACTGCCTAGCGCTGTGCGAGGAGTGGCTGAGACAGCTGTCAGAAAACAACATTCCTCACACCAAGAGGCCGAACCTCATCAGCACTCTTGGAGACCCTGTGGAAATCCTGTTCTGGCAGGCAAGTTGCAGAAAACCCCAACACTTCAGACTGGAGGTGTCTTAGGTAAAGGCTAAAGCATTCAGCTTACCGCTCACTAGATCACCAATTCCAAAAGACAGACCCCAAACCACACAGCTCAGTAACAACCGAGCACCTCCACACTGCAGAGCTGGAATTGCTGCCAGGACTCCTTGTGAAATGAGCAGGAAAGCACGTGGCGACACCCAGGCCAGCAGCAGCTCTGAGGGTATCAGCCTTAACCCATAAGGCTTCTGCTTTACAAACCACAAGCTTAGAGCAAAGCCCTGACCGTAGCCTGCCCAAGCCTAACTCTGCCAGCACAGCTCTGTCCCTCTCTGTCTGTGGGTGCAGCCACAGTTAGAGGTGCCTTCACCACCATCCCCTGTCCACCATGCTGGGACCACATAGGCACCAGGGCAGCAAAGGCTTCTCTCTGTCAGTTGTCTTGTGCTACCAGGTGGTCCCAACAGCTTTTTCTACCCCATTAGACTGCTGGTTTACCCAATGACACCCTGTCTGTGGAAAACAGGGTAATAACACGGTAATAACACGGTTCTCCCAGTCCTGGGCTCACTACATAGATCCCCAAGCACGAGCAAACAAGCAGATCAAGAATCTGGTAAGAGCTGTGAGGAAGAAAGCCAGGTCTGCCAGGATAGGGGAAGCAGCTTTCAGTTAGGCAGTGCATGGAGCAGACTTCGGGCTCCAAAGGTACAAGACCACTCACTGTCCCAGCTCAACCTCCCCAGCACCAGACAGGCTAGGTCCTGTAGATTTCCCTGTTTTGGAAATCACCAGAGGGCAGGGAGGGCCCTGCTGTAAGAAGTGAGGCCTTGGATTTTTCCCACTCTGGCTCTCCCCTAGCATTCAGAGGGGTTTACATTCTTCACCACACCCTAAAACACACAGAACAGCCCTTGGGTCCCCTAGGACAGAAGGGATCAGGGTAGGATTACCTGGCTGGTGAGAACAGTCCCTGTAACCAGATTTCTGGGAACACAGAGCACCTCCTCTTCTCTTCCTCCAGAGAGCCACCCACTGCCCTTTTTGAAGGGTCATGTAAGAGGCTCTGGCAGCTGCTCCTGTTTTGCTCGCCATGGGATTTTCCCAACCACCTGCCTGCACTTTGCAGGTAAATGAGCTCTGACTTACCAGCATGAGGCTCTATAGGGGTACGGCTCTTGGAAGGAGGCTCTCCCTGTTCTCTCCACTTTCCTTCTGCCTCATTGAACTGTCTCTAGGCCTTGGTGGCACGGACTCAGCTTGCCAAAAGAGCCAAAAACTAGCCAAGCAAGAAAAGAAATTATTTCTGCTACTCCAAGGAGTTAAATCAGCCCAGTGAGAGGTCTACCATGCACCAGAGCTGAATGCGAAGGGATCCTGCCCTCCCCTGCTGCCTTTCAGGACAAGGTGAACCCCCTGGAGGTGGCCAAGCTGAATTACCAGGACTTCCTTGCAGTTTGGAAAATGCCATTACTTTTGGGTAAGCCCTTTCTGCTAGAGAATGTCAGCGAGGAGCTGGATCCGGTCCTTGAGCCTGTCCTACTGAAACAGATCCTATGTCTTGCCTTGGCAAGGAGGGGCAGGGGATACCTGGCTGGGCATCTGAAGGGAGCATCTGACCAGGGTGCAGTGGGACATAGTGAGTTTGTAGGTCTCTCTGGGCAGGCAGCACTCACATGGATGCTGTCTGTTCTATGCTTGTGTGTCTTGGCCAGAACTCCAACGTGTTGGGCAGCCTCTGCACGCCCCAGTCTCCTGCCAGTAGGCATCTTTCCCTGGGAGGCAGGGCCGTGCAATATGGCTGCTCTACTCAGGTTCAGAGCTTGAAGCCTGCACCTTTGAGCTCCTCTGTTCAGAGGGGCTTCAGTCTCGCTCCTCACTGCAGAGCCCAGGGTGTAGGAGGATGTCATCCCTCACAAGAGGTAGCTGTCCCAGGCTTACTGTATTTGTCTCTTTCTGGTACAGACCTACAAACAGCAAGGCAACACCATGCTGAAGCTGGGTGATGCCCTACCATGAGAGTTTCAAGATGTACATCACCACCAACCTGCCCAACCCTCACTACAGCCCTGAGGTCTCCACGAAGCTCACCCTCATCAACTTCACCCTCTCACCCAGGTACTTGCTTACCCCATTAGCTGTCCGTGCTGCTCAGCCTTGCCCCTCACAGTCCTCAAACCCTCAGGCCTGTTGCCCCCCCCCCTCACCTCCATGGCTTTTGTTATAGGGGCTTGGAAGACCAACTGCTAGGAGAAGTGGTGGTCACAGAGCAGCATGACTTAGAAGAAGCTAGAAACCAGGTAATTGTTAGCAGTACCAAGATGCATCAGGAGCTGACAGAGATAGAAGACCAGATCCTGTATTGGCTCAGCACTTCTGAAGGAAACCCTGTAGATGACTTGGAGCTCATCAAAGTGCTGGAGGCATCCAAGCTCAAAGCAGGAGAGATCCGGGTCAGAGGTGGAGGTGCTCTCCCACTGCAGCTGTGCGTCCCCTGCCAGCACTGCACTAACCATGACATCTCATCTGTCCTCCAGGCCAAGGTAATGGTGGCCGAGCAGACAGAGGACATCAACATGACCTGCCGGCAGTGTGTGCCTGTGGCCATCCACTTGCAGATCCTCTGCTTCGGTGTCTCAGACCTGTCTGATGTGGACCCCATGTACCAGTACTCCCGTGAGTCATTCCTCAACATCTTCCTAACGGGGATCAGTAAATACAAGGGAGCAGGTGCCTGCCCAGAACAGCCCCCTTCTGTCATCTTCCTCACCCTACATTCCTGGATGGCTGCTTGCATTGGCTCTCGGCATGGTCCAGAGCTGCCCCTAGTTGTGTCCACACAGCAAGGGAAGATGTGGTCTCAGCCTGCCCTCCATTCTCTTCCCCACTGCTTCTCTGCTGCCTTGTCTGACTGGGCAGGAGGGGTGTTAGTGCAGAGCGCAGGCAAGGGACATGCCATCCTGGTAATCATGTCGCTCTGCTTGTCACAGAGCCACCTCCACACACAGGTCCTCGCTGCTGCTGCCAGGCCAGGGGCAGCTTTTTCTGCCCAGCAGCACACGTCAGCCACGATGGCTGTGGCTGGCCCCTGTAGGCTGCCATGGTGCGGTGTGGACTCCCTTCCCGTGCTGGGGCAATGTTTTCTTCCGTGTGCTGAGTCTGTGAGAGCAGCATCTGTTCTGCCTGGGTGGGGGCAGGTGTGCCCCTGTGACCAGGAACCGACAGCTGACTTGGAGAGCACCCTTCACATCACCCGTAGCACCCACCACCCTCATCTGATTGTTGTCTTTTTTTTCAGACACCCCGAAGGACCGGATCATGAACATCAACAACTACTTCACCTTCAATCTCTATAGCAATGTGTGCCGTAGCCTCTTTGAGAAGCACAAGCTCATATTTGCCTGCCTGGTTTGCTGGTGAATGACAGGCAGATCAATATGGTGAGCAAGTCACCTTCGTCCTTTGATGGGATCCCACCAAGGCAACTCAAGCCCAGCCTGTTCAGCCCCCTAGAATAGTGTGCTGGCATAGAAAAGAAGCCTTATTCCCTGGGGCTGGGGGCAGGACTGGTAGGCTAGTGGGCAAACCCAGGGCCTCTCTCTTCACTCAGACCTCAAACCTTTCCTTGCATCTGTATGCAGAGCTGCTTAACCTGAATCACCTGCAGCTTTTGCCAGTTTGCTGCCAGTGTGCAGCAGCCAGGGCTGTCATACCACCCTCTTCCCTTTGTTTTCCCCATTACAGGCCACTCCACCAACTATGTGATTGCTGTGGAAACTCCTATGGAACTGCACAAGCACTGGATCAAACAGGGCACAGCCTTGATCTGCACACCCTGGACTTCTAGCCAGAAAACCCTCCCGGCTCAGGAAACCATCCCAGCTTGAGGGCCTGAGCCAGGGCCTCCGCCATCCTGCACAGAGGTAGGCAGCACGGGCCGGCAGCAGGAGCCAACTGCCATCAGCTGCTCCTCCTTTCCTGCCCTCTGAGCCGTGTCAATAAAGTGAGTTGACTCCACTAGCATCACATTCACCAGGTGCTGTTGCAACCCCTACAATTACTTGAAGTGTTCAGCAGCACAGAGGAGCTGCCAGCAGG